GACTGAGAAATTAAACTATATAATATAGAGCACACACGGTTCAGAAAGAAAAAAAAAAAACAGCAGAAGTGGGGGAAAACTCCGTAGAAAAAGTGGCATTTTATCTTGGCACAATTTAGATGGGTGGAAAGAAGGTGAAAGAGCATACGAAAGAATAAGAGCAAAATTTCAAAGGCAGAAATGAGCAGGGCACCTAAAAAACTCAATGAAAAAAATAGCCTCGCCAGAACTGCGTGATTTCAAAACAGGGAGAAATAAGCTGGTTGGAATGGTACTGAATCAGGGCAAACTAAGAAATTAGGCAGCAGAGTTTGCATTTTATGCCTTTGGGAACAGTAAGCCACTTCAGAGTCCTAAGCACATGAATGAAACAAAACAAAAGAACTTAAGAATTTAGAGGTGAGCACAGTTCCCTTCTTAAATCCATTCCAGCACTTTATTCTTACCTCTGCAGGTTCAACTGATTTATTAAAAGCACTCGGGGTCCACTGCTTAGAGATACTGACTTTGACATTGCTAAATGTTTTTCTTGATGCATGAAGCAACGAATAACTGAAAAAGAGAAGAAATACAGCTGAATGAATAGCAAAGAAAATGGCATTTAATAAAATCACAGAAATGTTCCCATTTGTTTTATTCAATTTATAATTCTTTAAAAAAAAAAAAAAAGGAACACTGCTTCAAAAGGACTGCCAACTCTAACAGTCTCTGCTAAAGGAAAAGGAAAAACTAGTCTTCTTCAATACGAGCTCGCATGTTCACTTATAACTTATCCCTGGACCTATAGGATGGGAGATGGGACTGATCTCAACCCATTTTAAATCATGTAAAGAATTTTAAGTCTTTAGCAATCATTGGCTACTCATTGTGCTAGCCATCCCGTAGCTTCTTCCTTAGATCCTGTCTTCTCATATGGATGCCTCCCCCAACCCTTCACAAATGGCTATCCCCTAAACCAAGCATCCAAAATTATCTATCTTATATAATTAGCCATTTTCCTAGTTTCTGCCAAAAAAAAACCCAAAACCATCATCATCATCATTTGTGGTGCCTTCAGTAAAGATTAATAAACAAAATCTACTCAGAAGAAATAATCAAAAGAGTTGAGTCACAGGGTTATGAATAACATGCCCTTAATCCCAAAAAGCCTGGTTTATGTCACCTACGACCACTAAAGCAAGCCACCGAGGGCCGGCCATAGAATCGCAAACAGGAATGGTTCTTAAGCCATGCTGACTGGTCAGGGACGTCATACGAGTTACCAGGGTTCCCCACAATTGTCTCATACCATTTTTACTGCTCAAGGAGGCATGGGGCATTCTCCAAATACACACATCCTTTGCTCTCAAGCTCCTAGTTTTAACACATAAAGGACTTTATATTATATCAGGCTTTCTCGACCATGGCACTAAAGACATTTTGGGCCCCCAAAATTCTCTATTGTGGGGCTTGTCTTGTGCATTGTAGGATGTTTGGCAGCATCCCTGGTTTCTACCCACTAGATGCAACCAGCACCCCTTCCCCCAGCATGACAAATAAAAATGTCTCCAGGTATTGCCAAACAAAGGCAAAAGAGCCCCCAAGAACTACTGTATTAGAGCTCTCAAAAGGAACAACAGAGGTACAACTAGTCTACCACATAAGCCCATGCCACTCACTGCACTAAGCTCTGGCCATGCAATAAATGTCTCCCTCAAAGGGGAAAAACAACGACACTGTAGCAATCCACTCACCTGAAGAAGGTGAGCAAGAACACGACAACATGATGATGGCTGAATCGGGAGAGAAGAGCTCTTCTTTGAAAAATATCTGGCCAGGCCATGTTCTTCCTGCCCTGCCTTCTCACCCTGAACCTTAAGGTTTGGATAGTGAATGATTTACATCATTTCTTCTCTCTGGAAAGACAAAACACATTATTAACATTACTGGAAATAAGCAGATTATCCAAAACCTGAATTATTTAGACTTATGACCAGTCAGCATATAACCAGGTGTTGAAAAAAATCAAATGGGCTAGCTGACACCAGAAAACCAGATGGAAAGTTATGTTTTATAGTGATAAGATAGTCCTTTCGGCAAAAAAAGAAATCTTTACAAAAGATTACATGCTAACAGAAAGAACTCATACAAAATGATAAGAAAACCACTAATTCTAACAGAAAAATGAGGAAAGGAAATGAATAGACGACTTAGAAGAAATGAAATGGCTAATTAAACTTATCAAATAAAAGTTCTCATCTCACTAGTAATATAAAAAATGCTAATGAAGGATGTGGTTCCATAGTGTGTCGGTTAGCGTGTCTGCTTTACACACAGAAGGTTCATGCCTCAGTGGAGTCACAGCCCACGGTCTACAGCCATGTGCCACCCTGAACAAGCCCGATGTCTGATCTCGGAAGCTAAGCGGGTCGGGCCTGGTTAGTACTTGGATGGGAGACCACCTAGGAAGACCAGGTGCTGTAGGCATAAAAAATAATAAATAATATATAAATAAATAAATAATGCTAATTAAGACAAGAAAATGTTTGCATAGTTAAGAAAGACTGCAGTGAATGCAGCTCAAGGTATAATGACTTCTGAACTCTCTCGGTAAGCTGATGGAAGTGAAAATTAGTACGGTACTACAGGAAGACAGTCCAACCATGTTCAAGAGCCTTCGACACAAAAATTCAATTTCCAGAGATCTATTCCTAAAGAAATACAAGATGGAGTCAGGTCAAATAAAAAAAGGTCGTTTTTGCAAAGCGTCAAAGGAGCGTTTTTATTTTAAAGAAATGAACTTTGTGTCAGTCATGAGGGAACAGGGGAAAGAGGCAGGGCCACTCCTATGCCATCTCTCTGCACTACTTCCTCTTACCTTTCCTTGGTCCTCTCTGAAAACTGACCCATGTCCGATAGCCAAGAATAATTAAGCATAAAGTAGCATCTGAACTTAATGTCTCTAGCTATGAGTCTGCAGTAACAACCTAAATATGCAGTAAGAGGGAAATTATTATATAAATTATGGTATATCCACATGGTCTAATATTCCATAATCATTTGACATGATAAATTAAGACTTTAATTACATGAGAAAATATGATGGGAAAAAAGTAGGATATGACTTAGAATATGATCGACTCAACTTTATGTTCACATAATATTTACAAATAAACAGGAAATATATTAGTTCTCTCTGGGTAGTGGGATTATGGGTCATTTTCATTTTCTATATACTTTCCTAAAAATTCTACAATAAATATGTATATTACTTTTATAATCAAAGGGGAAAACATCCACAGCACTGGAAAAGTCCTATAATTTATCTCTATGTCAGAAAAAAATAAATTGACAAAATGACATGTCTAATAAATACACTATAATAGTCAAGACAGGAGACAAACTCAAGAGCTCCCAATACTAAAATAAGTGAATCGCAGGCCTCTGCTTTCCAGGCTGTGTTCCTTGTAACTGCTGTCCAACTCCTGTTTTCACTAACCATGGCTTGGTAGATGTACCCAAATCTCAAATGCTGAGAAACCCACCAAAAGGCCATCCTTGATAAACATTATAGCTGTTTCACTTACTGGCTGTGAGCCCTTGGACGAGGTAATCTCTGTGAATCACAGATGACCGTCTATAAAATGGCCTGTCTCTTCTGGCAGTAATGAGAGTAAAATAAACAATGTATGTAAGGTATTAAGAGAATTATTTTAGCCACTGGTCTGCCCGGGATTAATCCCACATCAGCAGAATGCAGCTAATTTCACTTAATCATTCTCTCTGAAAACATTGACAAAATTATGAACCAAGTAAGACTCGTTCACAAAAATGTAATAAACTTTCTGTCTGTAATTCCAGGAAGTTACAAAACAGAGAGCTATTAGTGTTACTGAAATTTACCTCCATCCCCAAAATTAAACATGAAACGCAAGCGGAACGATTGGAAGCGTTATTCATTCCTTATAAAGCTCTTTGTTTGAGAATTTTTATGAGTTTATTGGAGCCAAACTGATGACATATGCCAGGAAGCAAGATCTCAAATGCTCCCTAAAGTGTAGCTCTTTGAATTGAACACATCACATCTCAAAACACTGCACTGAGTTCTTCAGGAAAGATTATGAAATTCAATAATTTATCAGGTAAAATAATAATTCCAAAAATGTACACCCCAACAGGTTGGGATTACATTGCTTCGGCAATAGTGGTTGTGTATTTCAGGACTGTATAGTTACATTAATAGCTTTAAATGACTAACAAGCTGTTTTTGAGACTGTCTGGATTTAGTTTCTAAATAAAACAACTTTTCCTTAGCTACAGTGACTGGAGAAAAGGCTTAATAAGTACGTCAGGAAAATAGTTTTAAACATTCGCCTGCTATTGGCAGAATGGCATTTAAAATGAATCCTATTATAACATCTGGTCCTATGTAATTGTAATAATTAATAATAATAATACCTTGCACTTCTATCCCCTACATCATAGAAGTGATTTCTAATCATCGGTGCACCCTGAGGCCCGGGGGAGCACACAGAGTTTTTGCCAAGTCTGAATCCATCAAGCACATCCTACTTTCCAAAGACCATTTTCTTTCCTGCTCTCAACAGAGACTGAACAATCGTCTCTATTTTTCAAGTGTGTATAAATGCTGTTATAATTAAAACCAAATTATAATTAAAATTAAATTATAATTAAAACCAAAATTCACTTAAGTGTTTCTAAATCCACAGTAGCTTGGCATTTAGTATTTTCTCAATCAACGGATACTTAACATACAACTATCACGTGAAAATAAGAATGATCTTTAAAAAAAAAAAAAAAACCTTATTGAAAATAAGATCCTTGCCATCGAAGAGGATCCAGAACCACTGAGCCATGTTCTACTTTCCAAAGCAAGTTCACAATCACTAAGTCATCTGATTAGTGATGAAGCTTGTTTTGGGTCCTAGAAGATCGTGCATACAAGGTATTTTCCAGGATGGAGCACTCCATACTGTGCAATCAATGCTGGATAAAAGACAGCTCCACGTGTAACATGACTGGACAGAAGGCAACCTTCCCCTATCAACACTTCCTCAGAATAGAAAACATTCCGACATTTTCACTTTCTATAGATGTTGAGAGTCCTTGACAACACAAAGAGAGTAAGAGTTGAAGCTTGTGTCGTGTGTTAGGAAGACTGTGGGAGAACTAGGCGAAGTGAGAAGGCGAAGACTGACAGACAAGGAGCAGCCTGCGGTCCCTCCCCGACCTTCCTACCACGCTCTCTGGAAATCTAGAGGTGCGGTTAATGAACTTCACTGTACATGGTGGACTCCTGCCTGTCCCCAAACGACCCCGCTTCCTCCGAGTGCTCTCAAGGAGAAGCCATCATTCTTCTCACATCCTCCTTGCAAACCCCAGCCTCTCTGAAACTCACGCACGGGCTGTACTGCCCACCGCCCTCAGTTTTCACATCCTGACCTCCCCGCACTGCACACGCTTCTGCCTCACCTTCCCCCCCGCCCCACCTCTGCTTCCGTCTCGCTTCATCATCCAGGTTGGCAATCGCTCACTTCCCTGTCACCACCAATCTTAACCCTCTAACTCACAACAAAACCCACTCCACGGTCAAAATCCACTCCCTGTTTATGACCAGTAATTGAATCACCTCCCCAAAGGGATTTTCAAACACCCTTCCCTTTCAGAAAACTGCTTACTTTATACTTCCACTCCAACAGTCATTCTACCTCAGTGAGGTTCCCAATTCATCACCCCACTATTTTTTCTGGTATCCGTTATCCTCCTCTTCTCATTTCCTTCTTTACCAACTTAGACTCTAAACTACCTCCCTTATGGGCTTCTTTTGCTTGCTTGCCTCCGTCCTCCTTCTCTGCGACCAAGCAACTGAGTTTTGCCAGAGGAAAATCACACACACAGCTCGCTTTCACTTTTTAGATTCAAAACCACAAACCTCAATGAGCATGCAACGTTGCCCAGCAAGTCTACACTTCCCTAATCATTGTGCTTTCTCAATCCCTGAAACAACTATTTCACACTTCTCTTTAAACTTCCAGCATCTCTGTCTCTCTCCTCCTCCGTCTAGTACCACGGCCGGCCGACTCGCAGCTCTACAGCTCTGATCCCCCAGGGCTCCCCGCAGTACAGCCGGTGGACCCCGTGCTATCCCTCAATGCATCTAAAGTAAAATTCTTCATTTCCTCGCTCCAAACCGATTCCTGCCCCAGTATTCCCCACCTCAGTAAACAGTATCGCCATTCCTCCAAAATGCCCAAAGTAACGAGGCCTTAGGCTTCATTTCCCTTTTTCTCAGCTTCCACATCAAACCCATCACTAAGCCCGGCCCTTATCACCTCCAAAATACCTCCCAAATCCATCCTTTTCTCTCCATCCCCACCGCCACCCATTTCTGCCACCACGCCCCGTGCGAGCCTTCTGCAGGTTCCACTATGTCTACATCTACCGCCCACCACCATCATTCACACATCAGCCAGAAATAACCTGGAAGCTTCAGTCAGCTGTCATTCCTCTGCTTAACACACTTTGATGGCTTCTCGAAACACAAAACTCTTTGCCATGGCCTTCGAAGCCTGTACACCCCAGGCCTCTGTAGTAAAGCAGGAAGGTTAAGGGGTGGGAGCCACTAGAACTGACAGCTGGGGTTGGCAGGAAAAGGCTAAGGATGAAGGAGGGTACTGCCTGAGCAATGACTGGAGATACCGGGCTTCTTTCTTTTAGTTATCTTATTAATTTTCAATAGGTTATATGCATGAAGTAGAAAATTCAAAAGATGCCAAAGGATATAGAGACAGCTCACTCCCAGTTTCTTTCGCATCCCTGCAGGCGCTATACCTGTGCATACGTTCCGGGCACAGCCCTTCACACGCACAAACACGAATGAGCATGTGACATAGTCTACACCATTATTTCCTTCATTTATCCGAGGCTGGGGGTCTGTCCGCACCTCACCTACAGAGCTGCCACACACGACTCCTACCGGACAGCTGGGTGGTTCCCAACCCTTCGCCAGTATACACGGTGAGAAGCTAGGACGTGTCCTTCCTCGTCCTTGCTCGCCACCCTCACCGGCACCACACCTCCACACTCACTACCGTCTCCCACAACTCATCCCTTTCTTGTCCTTTCTTGCTTTGGGCCTTTGCATGGATGTTCCACTGTCTGAAGTGCTTTTCTCCTGGTTCTTTGCAAACTGCTTGCTCTTCCTTTTCCTGGCTTGTCCTCGAATGTCAGCTTCTAGATTGATCTGCCCTATTTAAAATGGTCTCCCTCAGTTACTACCTCTCTCATCTCTCTCTCTCTCTCTTTCTCTCTCTCTCTCTCTCTCTCTGTTCCTTCTCGTCAGAGCCTATCTCTCAATCTAGTCTGTTCACATGTTTATGGTTCATCTGCAAACTCCATAAAAGCAGTAGCTTTATCTGTCTTAAGTCCACAGCTATATCCCCAGCACCAAGCAGAGTATACGGAATGATCAATAAAGATGTTTTGAATGAATTAATTCTTTGACTGATGGCCAACACTGAATGCTTTCAAAGTGCCAGGCATTGTGCTAGGGATTATTGCATTTAGTTCTCACAACATCTTACAGATGAGAAAACAGATTTTAGAAAGTAATATCTTTCTCTTAAGAGATGAAGCAAGCATTCAAACCCAGACCTGACCCTAGCCCTTAGGTTACACTGTATAAGAGTAAAAGGCTGAACTATAAAATATCTCAAGTTGAGTAAAAAAACAATAATTAGAATATCTCACTTTAAACTTAGAGATATAAATCCAGGATGGGAAAACACACACACACACACACACACACACACACACACACACACACACACACCCCTTATTAGTAATAGCAGTCTCTTAAGCACTACACTCAAATAAGAGCTTTAGTTAGAAGGACAATTACGTCATTCCCCAGATTTCAGTTTTTACACTTGCAAAGTATAAAGATTATGTATACTCAAAGTATAAAGAGGTAGGTGGAAAAGTATTAAATGGGTAGTTGAGTTCACCAATTATTTAGCACCTCAGTGCTCAACACTTATATGAGTGTCTCTTTTAGCCCACAATATCTAATTTGAAGCCATTTATCTGTACCACAAAAATTCTTTTATTCAAAACTCAAATCTTCTTGTAGTTTTTCTCTTTTCTTAAATTGTTTCATCACCACAGGTATAAAAGACCTAGCACGTATCTGTAAAATTCTCTCATCTTATTCCAGGGTTCTTAAAACCACACTCTTCCTATCTATTTTGAACATATTCCAGAGACAACTAGTTTTCAAGATAAACTCTCTCCCTCTCCAGGACAAAGTGAATGGTCATCACTGTGACGTTCCATTATCACTGATGAACAGGAACAAAACAAAACGTTCAATAACACGGTTGATCCTGACAGCTAGAGAGCAACGAGACAGTGCACTGATTTTAATTTTATAAAAGTCCTGTTTCAAGGTGATTTTCTAATGGAAATCAAAGATTAACAGAAGAAGGGGGGACTGTGAAGCCACATGAGGCCACAAAAAGGTATTAAAGTTGGAATCCAAGACCCTCCACTTAATTAACTTCTTTGAGCTTCAATATCCTTTGAAGATCAAATGAGATAATCTAAAGAGAGTTCCTAGTACAGAGCGTGGCACGCAGTAAACATTCAACAAATGGGAAAGAAATAATTCAAACACCACGAGACGGTGAAGAAATAAGGTGGCAATTAAGAATCATTTTGCTCATCCCTGAAACATTTGCTTTCTCCTATAAACATTTCAGTAAAAATTGGCATAGCATCACCTTACAATCTTATATTTCAGGAAACACCCAAAGCCCTGTGGACACATTTAGCCTCTGTCAAAAGTGAGAATAAACAGACCACAGTCTGCCAATAAGAATATTGAAGCAATGACGAATAAGTAATCTGACCAAATTCCTTGACTGAGACCATGGTACTTACCAAAAAACAAAGCTCAGGTTTTCCACTAACACTCTTCTCCTTCTGAGGCCTCTACCTCCTTTCCCAAAGTTTCCCCCACCTACTTGCAAAAGATCCTCTCACCTGGTCTAAACTCCAAGCCTGCACCAGAGCCCCAGCGGGCCAGACCACCGGCTCTCCCCTGGCCCGCCCCCAACTCCACCGCGATCCTCCCGCTCGCCTCCCGCTGCGGTCCTGGCTCACCCCGCCAAGGCCCCGCAGCACCGGGGATCCGACGAGCCCGGCCCGGGGCGCCACACCCACGGCCACCACCCACGGCCACCACCCTCCGCATCTCCGCCTCGCCCTCCCGTCTCGTGGACGCCCCTTGGACCTGACCTACCCTCCCAGGCGGCGCCCCCATCCCCACTCCCAACCGGGGTCCTGCCCCTTCCCGGCTCGGGTCCGACGGCCGCAGCTTGCACACCCGAGACCCGCTGCTCTCTGGCTGGCCACTCTGCTCACTCGGCTCTGCTCTGTTGCCCGCCCGGCGCCGCCGCCGCCGCCGCCGCCGCCGCCACCTCACTCCCGGAGCTGCGGCCAGAGTTTCCGGGCGCCCACGTGACCTGCGCCTGTCCTTGAGGCATGCTGGGAGTTGTAGTCCGACCGCGGGACAGACGGACTGGGTGGGCGGGGCATCCTCCGGCGCCTGGCGGAGGTCTCTGTGGACCCCGCTCGCTGGGCGAGGGCGGGGGCTACCTGCCAGGAATGTTAGGAAAAAAGCAGTAAGAGAGAAAGATATAATCTGAGGAGAAATGATGTATAGGTCATCTTTTTTCAAAACTTTATTCCGCTCTTCGTTTTTATGGAAAGCAACGTGCTGCTAAGTGTACTACAGACCGCCCGAAGTATGTATAGGCTTTAGATGGTGTAATTAAACGCTGTTGCCCACATGGACAAAGCCATTAGTCGCCCAGTATCATTCACTGTTCTCCATCCCAACCCACCTACTCATACGATAAATGAGTTGAGATCCTGACCGCCTTACAACACACAGCTTTGAACAAGGGTGCTCTGCCCTCATGGGCTCGCTTTCGACTCTCGGGAAAATAATAATTTTAAAAACAAAATTTTAAAAATTGAAACTGCTCCCGGCCCAGAAAACCTCTCCATAAAAGTAGTAGCTTAGAAAACAGGATTTTTTTCAGTTTTACAGATATCTTGAATATTATCATAAAGAATGTAAGATAGGAGCATGGAATAGAATGGCAGAAAGAACATGGGCTGTGAGTCAGGGAGGTCTGGCATTCACGCTGACTCTTTCAATCATAAGTTATGTGACCTGGGGCAGATGACAGTTTGAGCCTCATTTTCCTCAGCATTTCCCCCCTCTTTCTCACGAGAGCTTCAGGAAACAGAGGTTGATAAAACAATTTCCGCCTTAAGACGTTGAAGATCTAAAACAAGGTGTGAGATAAAGTAATGATAATGTAAGCAGAATAGAATTAGTATTTTGAAAGTTGTTCAAATAAAGTCCTTTAGATGTTCAAAGGGGTATAATGTTCAGTCGAAAGGAATTCAAAAAGGATCTCAGAAAACAGTTTTATTATCGAATAAGCTTTGAACCAGAATGTGATGCACGTCATCGGCAAGGTGCTAAGAGTTACATATCAAAGCCCATACCACCCATTACTAGCATGTTCTCAAGATAATCACTAGTCCTCAAATGAAAGGATTTGACAGAACCTTTTGCCATGCATAGTTCGTCCTAACTTAATGATGGTAATTGGGGAGACCAACTGTGTCAGCTTATCCAGAGGAGAAATAAACTTCTCATATCTTTAGGACAGGAGATAGATCTGCAGATTGGAGTGAGGCACCCAGGAAAGTTAGAGACACTGCCTGTCTGCAAGTTTGCATTCTGATGATGGCTGCCCGGTCCTGGAGGAAACAGTCCTGAGTTGTGAGACTGGCCACAGGTTATTTAGCCATTATAATGATACATATATATTTGAAAGGACACTGAAAGAAATTTTGAAAGAAAAGGGAATGAGGGGAATTTACAGAATGCAGAAGTAGTTTTGTTTCCAGTCATCTAAAGATGTAGCTGGGGAAATGTGATATCCGAGTGAGCAACAATAGATCAGCCATAGTTTTCACTTTTATTTTTAAAAATACATTGTGGGATAATTATGCGCAGTGCCAGGTGGGTACGAGACTAGTCAGGGGGATCACATCTTAAACTATATTAATGTCTAAAAACTATGCTGTACACCTGAAACAAATATAAAATAATATTGAGTGTCAATTGTAATTGGAAAAAAGAAATTTAAAGGGGAGATGAAGGGGAATAAGGGGCTCAGATTTCCAGGTATAAAACAAGTCATGGGGATGTAATGTACAGCATAGGGAATACAGTCAATAATATGCGATGGCATTGTATGATATCAGATGGTTTCTGGACTTATGGTGATCACTTCTTTAGGTATATAAATGTCGAATAACTACGGCGTACACCTGAAACTAATATAATATTGCATGTTAGCTGTAGTTTAATAAAAATCTTTTCTTAAAAAAGACAGGATTTTGTTTATGAAAATACAAGAGAATCCATAGTATACACAATATGAATTTGGAGAGACAGGTCAGAAATGCCAAAGAAAAATTCTTTTTAGTTTGATTGATCACTCAATCAAACTAAATGTATTTTAAACATTCAATATTATAATTAAAATATCTCTCCAAATTATTTAAGTTTTAATTCTCTAAGTGTTAATAATTTTATCGGTTATAACATCTGTAAATTTGTGTTTAAAATCTTACATTGGTAATTAACTTGGAAACTTTTTAAGTCGCAATAAATGTTCTTTAATGTTACAATAAAAAAATACATTGGGGGACATTATTCAGTCTTAAAAAGAAATGAAAATCTGATGCTACAACGTGGATGAACCTTGAAAACGATATACTAAATGAAATAAGCTAGACACACACAAATAATTGTATAATTCCATTTATATGAGGTACCCGGAGTAATTCAATTCATAGAAACGGAAAGTAAACAATGGTTACCAGGGGCTAAGAGGAGAGGCAAGCGAGAGTTTCTGTTTAATAGATACAGAGTTTCAGTTGGGATAATGAAAAAATTCTGGAGATGGATGGTGGTGAGTGTTACACAACCATGTGAATGTATTTGATACCATTGAACGGCGCACTTAAAATGATTAAAATGGTAAAATATATATATTGTGAATACATGTGTATGTGAACATATATGTATATACGTGTGTATAAAATAAATACATAACCTAGTCACCTCCGCCCAGAATGCCCTTTTCCCCACAGCCTAAGCTACGCTCTTGTACTCATAGTCGCGTTGGTGGAGAGCGTTGGGGGAGGGAGAGGCAGAATCTTTTTGGCTTCCAGAACCATGTGGACATTGCACCATTTGATTTCTACTTCTAGATGTTCTCTAAGCGCTAGGTCTGAGGCAGCTGACTTTTTTTTTCTTTAACAGTAACCGTTACCAGAAGAGGAAAACATTTACTGTCCAACCTCACCGATACTGACACCTAACGGGTTTTATTTCCTGCCCCCTGCCCATTTGTGGTGGATCTTGACCTACATTTCATTCCCGAGACGCAGACATGTGACTGTGTGGTCCTCAAAGCAGGAGTCTGTCGTAGTGGCATTTGGCAGTGTCTTTGGTTTGCTTGCTCTACCTGCCAGCTTCGAGTCTATCTTACTCAAAAGAGAGGTGCCTGAAAACTGATCTGTAAATGGAATTTGGAGTCAGATAAATTCCATCGTAAAGGTTATCTGAAGGAATTGTAGAAAGAAATGTTCTTGGAGAGTGAATAAATTGTCCTCTATTTCAGTGCTTCTCCATCTTTTTAGACCTCAACCCACAGCAAGAAATACATTTTACATCATCCCAGTATACACATGCATGCATACAAGCGACCCAAACATTTCACAAAACAATACTGAGCCTCACTACACGAGATACATTCTGAAATTTTTCCTAACCTTTTCTGTAAAAATGCACATTGCGACCCACTGAAATTGATTTCATGACTCATTCATAGGTCTCAGCTCACAATTTGAAAACACTATACCAATTTAAATATTTTATCAACCCGGATGTTTCTGTTTTGCATATTGTGCCTACAGCTTAACTGCCTACACGTCATTACATTCTACACAGTGGAAAAAATCTAGTTCCAACGCTACGAGAAGCAGTGACCCTTCCAGACTCTGCGAGGGAAAGACATAAGGAAAATTCACCTCAGCCTTGTGTTTCTACAGCCAGCATCAGGCACTGGTAAACTCTATGTTTTCTTTAACTTAGAAATTAACCTTGGGTTTTGCGGCAGATCATTTGAGGGAGAGAAACGAAATTTTTTTTGTCGGCTCTTTCTTCCTGTACAAATTCGAAGTTCTTTTAGTTTTTTAATCTTCTCTTTGGATCCCCCTCCTTCCTCTCAGTGGCTCACCAAAAAGAGTTATTCAAATCCAAAAGAAATTAAAAGTATCCACTGTACTGAGTCCTCTCGTCGACCAGTCCCCCCAACCCAGCCAAACAAGGAACACCAGGAAAACGTGGGGACAAGCAATAAGAGACGGTGAGTAGAAAGAAGGAACGGGGTGGCTTACTAGGTGTTGGCTGAGTTACGCGGCTCGTCCTTTGCGTTTGGCTTTGCTAGGCGACGGATGTTCGGTGGGAGAGCTAAGGGCGCAGCCAGCGCGGGCTATAGCGCGTCACCCGCGCTCAGCGGCAGCTCCAGCTCCAGCTCCGGGCTCAGGGGCAGTAGGAGGGCTTCGCTTTCCTTTCGCTTTCTCAAGCCGCCAAACCTGACACCTGGGGACTACAGTTCCCACCACGCAGTGAGGCAGCAGGAAGAAGGGGCACTGAGGGCCCACAAGAAAAACAAAGGAGAAAAAAAGAAGGGCTTACCTGCTGGCAGAGGTGAGAGCGCGCAAGACGGGTAAGCGACAGGTGAACCAGGAAGGCGAGGGCTGCGGGATGCAGGATGGAGGACTTGGGCGGGGGGCCCCTGCCCCTTTCCCCTTGCAGGGCGTGTAGGCTAAGTTAAAGGGGGCTTCTGTGGAAACCTCGAGGACTTCTTTGGTGGGGGAGGAAACATGGGAGGAAGATTTAAGCCCCAGTTACAGTAATAAGACTCCGGAAGTGGAATGGCTTTATTTATTTGAAAAGTCAGAGAGGGAAAAAGAAAGTGGTTTAATAGTGTCTCTTGTCTGCCGAATCATTTAGCCATGGGTGGTTTCGGAGGCGTCCGAGAAAGGTACAAGTCCTTCTTCCTCCGTTTAAAGCTTGGGGTGTTTACATATAGATTAGCTATTTGTGTGCATTTTAATTCGTGTGACGATATAGACTTGTCCTTTTCTATAACTTTAGAGACGACCAAAGAATAAGGCTGGGTGAAGGGCAGAAGGGGGTCATATGGCAGGAGCAGTTAGTTAGCAGCACAGCAAGTTTAATCATCAAATGGGATCAGGTTTCGTGTTTTTATGAGACGTTTGTTTGATGAGGAGACTCAACACAATATCCTATGAAGAACAGTTGAAGGACCTAGGGAGATTTTCCTTGAGGGGATATGCTTGCTTCTCCAAATACCTCACGGCGGGTCATGTGGACTAGGAATCTGCCAAGACCTGACATAGCATGAGGATCAACAGATGGGACCCCCCGGGGAGATAGATTTCAACTCCAGGAAGTTAGAGCTATACACACAGGATGGGTTTTTGTAGGAGGTCGTGAGTCCCTCATGATCAAAGGTATTGAAGCATGGATGGAGAGTCCAGCAGAGATGCTGGAGGTGGGAGTAAGGCTTCAGGTGAGTGATGGGGTTGGTCAATGATTCCCAAGCTTGGCTAGTCATCAGTGTGTGTGTGTGTGTGTGTGTGTGTTTAAATACATTGAGCAGATCTATGGGATGGGCTTTAGGAATATATATTTTTCATTATCTCCCTAAATGATTCTGCTTTAATCTGTTAGTTTGGGAAACATCGTCACCAGAAGCTTCAAATTATTTTCCAGCCTATGGTAAAATATGCAATAAATGTTCTAGCCACAGTTTTCATTTTGAATATTCTCACAATGTTAATTTCCTGGTCATGAAAAACTAGGTGCCAACCAGAAGAAAAAGGCCACGTCACGTGACCCTAAACTGACTTCTCTATCAAATCTCACCTTGCTGGTCGCCTGGCTGTTCAGTCTTCCAGTAGTTGAGAAGTGGAGATAGGACGACAGCTAGGCATGGCCTCCACCTGACAAATGGCAGGTGGAACACTCCCGTGGGCATCTTCTCTGCCATCGTCGTGCTGTCTGGGCACTCGGTGGAGCATGACTAGGGTTTCCATCCGTGCTATCATCTGATGATGTCGACTGTGTATGGGGCCCAGCAGAGAATAGCAGTAGAACCTCTTCATTCTGACAGCACCCCTAAAGTAATGTCAACCCACCTAGGGCAGGTGCGGGCTTGTGGAAGCTCCCTTGTACCTGACCAGTAATCAGTGTCTTTCTCCCTCCAGGATGTTTGGGCTATGAAAACAATGACCTCCGTCTGTCTTGTCCTGTCTGTCCTGGACCCCCAAGTGCCTAGTACAGTGCCTGGTGCCTGGTAGAGGCTCACTAGTGAGATGCTGAATTCCTTCTTTTCTTCCTAGCTCCATCGAAAGCCATGCAATTCGCCAGCTCAGCCAGGGCGGCAGATGAGAACTTCGACTATTTGTTCAAGATTATCCTCATCGGGGACTCCAATGTGGGCAAGACCTGTGTGGTGCAGCATTTCAAGTCTGGGGTCTACGCAGAGACACAGCAGAACACGATTGGGGTGGACTTCACGGTGCGCTCCCTCGAGATCGATGGCAAGAAAGTGAAGGTCAGAGGGGCGTGGGGTCGGCTCCCCCTCTTCCAGCCACGGTTCCTAACACTGAAACACATGCCAAAGGAATAAAAGGTTTAACTATAAAATATGAAATCACAAGAGTACCAGGAAAAAACATAGGTGTATTTATTTTTAGCATTGCGAAATGAGGAAATTGGGCTTTTAAGTGAGATGAGAATCCAGGAGCCGTAAAGAAAAATATTGCTCAATCTAGCTATTTCAAGGTCAGATGTACACATTTCTATATAACTATATAAAGGTCTAATATCTACATATTCAAAAATACCATAAACCAAGTCAAAAGATGAATGACAAATTGGAAAGAAATATTTGTAAATGTGGGACTTGACAAAGGGCTAATTTCTTTAATGTGAAAAGACTATCGAAAATATCTAAGAAAAAGATCAACAACCAAATAAATACAAAAAGTAGGCAATTCACAAATCGAACAAAACTGTTATCTCACAAATTTTATAAGAACTAGCTCGTAAATTTATGTAAAGGTGCCCGATCTCACTCATAATTAAAGAAAACAATAAAATAACAGTGAGATACTATCTTTTACGCATTTGATTAGAACAGATCAAAAAATGTTGGTGAAAACGTAATGAAATGAATCTTGTTTGGGATCCTGATTAAGTAAAAACAACAGAAAAAAAAAAAGACATTTTGGAGACATTCAGGAAAATTTCTATATGGGCTGGGGATTAAAAGATACCAATGAGTCGTTAAAAAGTTTGTGAGCGGTGATAATGGCATCGTGGTTAAGAAAGTGTCCATTTTTACGGGGACGTATATCGATGAAGCAAGGGTGGCAAAATCTCGATGATTATTGAATCTGGATGATGGGTCTCTGAGGGTTCATTGTTCTGGTCTCTCTAGTTGTGTGTGTGTTTGCAACCTTTCTTTAAAAAATAAATTTTGGAAATACCGGGAGGATATGAAGAAACAGATATCCTCAGACACTGTTGGAGGGTGTATGAAATCGGGGCCATTGCTTGGGATGGTAATTTGGAAGGTATTGCTATGAGCGGTCCTTTCAAATCAAAACAGTTCGGCCAAAGTTGTCGCCTTTGCCAGTTTCAATATCCATGGGCAGCGTCCAGAGATAGCCCCCAAAATCTGGACGAAGGGATGATCGAGATAAAAAGGCAAAAGAACACCAGAGCCCAGGACGTTGGGTCGCCCGCTCTGAAGTGTACCTGAGGTGGTGGCCTGCAAACCTGAAAGCCCATCCAAATTACCCTGGGGAGCAACTGAAGAAATAGATTTGCGGGCCTCAGCCTAGGCCTATCACGTCTGGGTGTCTCGAGGGGAGACCCAGGCAGCCGTATTTTTCACGCAACTTAAGAGAGCAAGTTCTCATCCGGCCTGGCAACTCCCGATGCCACTCCCTTTCCTGCCTTTCTCCAGATGCAGGTGTGGGACACCGCAGGCCAGGAGCGCTTCCGGACCATCACCCAGAGCTACTACCGCAGCGCCCACGCAGCCATCATCGCCTACGACCTCACCCGGCGGTCCACCTTCGAGTCCGTTCCTCACTGGATCCACGAAATAGAAAAGTACGGCGCGGCCAACTTGGTCGTCATGCTGATCGGTATGGTGTTTCTCAAGGTTTTAACTCTGTGTTTCAGGCCCCCTCTGCTGATGCTCAGCTTTCTGTGTGTTTCTGGTGGCAGTGAGACATGACATCGTAAAAAGCGTACATGGTGGACAGGACCTCAGAAAGCGTCTGGCTCAGAGATTCCCAGCAGATTCACTTGAGAATAGGGGGTGGGAGGGCGTGAACTTGGTGAGAATACAGATGCCAAGGCCCCACCGTGGAGTTTCCTATCCTGGGGTGGGGCCCAGGCTTCTGTGTGCAGGGCGCCCCAGCTAATTCACTGCGCAGGTCTGTGTGACCACACAGGTAGTACTCTGTAGGGTGAGGTTCACAGAGTCAAATGGCTCCAGATCCTCGAGGGAGCTGGTGAGACTGAGACACCCTTGAATGACTTCTTACACCTGTTAAGATCTTAAGCGAATCTTAACACACCGACATCAAAACCAGCAGCAACTTCGGCTCCGCGAAGTGAACTCGCAGCTTGAAATGCGAGCGGTCCTGCTTACGTTCAGAAGAGCATCACTGTTTGTCACTTCTCTATAGTTTTAGTTTTGCAAGCAGAGCTACTTTTCCCTCCCTCCTGAGTCCACTGCTGTCTACCAAGTGGCCGCTTCATTTGGGCAAGTTGGTTTAGGCCCTTGCAACTCGAAGGGTGGTCCACAGACCAGCAGCATCAACATCACTTTCGAGTTTGTTAAAAATGCGCAATCTGAGGCGCCATCCTGGATGTACTGAGTCAGAGTCTTCATTTTAACAGGATCCTAGAGAGAATCATATGCAAATTAAAGTTTGCAAAGCACCTGTCTAGATAGACTGAGAAAGAGCTAAACATACCATGTTTAATGGATTATTTATCCGTCGACGAGCATATCCCAGCTCTGCGGCCAGTCATCCTATGAACCTTAGTTTCCTCACCTATCAGATGTGACTGATACTTGCTGGACTGATTGTAAAGATTTAATGAGATAACGTATATAAATTGCTTAAATTGCTCTGACATATTGTGAGTGCTTAATTAGGGTAAGATTTCTTTCTAGAAGGTTCGTTAGGTTGAAGAAACTAACTAACTAGCAGTGGCTGACATATTGTGAGTGCTTAATTAGGGGTAAGATTTCTTTCTAGAAGGTTCGTTAGGTTGAAGAAACTAACTAACTAGAGTGAGTCCCTGGGACCTAGGAAAAGCCAGCAATTGAGCCCCAGCCAGATCAGGAGCCACAGCAGAGCCAGGCCACCCACCGACAAGCCAGAACTCGGGGGCCCTCCTCGGGGTTGGGTTCTGGACCAGCCTCCTTGCCGCCTGTTGTTGCATCTACTTTCTCTGTCTCAGAGCTGCTTCTTACACGCGGGATAACGTGGGCCTGTGCACTGCCACCCCTACACTCCCCTGCGGAGTCTCTCCAAGCCTCATCCCCCGCCCGCCCTTCTGCAGACTCCTCATTCTCCCAGTATCCGCCAGCTCGCATTTCTTGGAAAGGGAATCTCATGCCCACTCCTTTCATGGCACAGCCCGGCCCAGGCGACAGGCCTGGGGTAAGGCGGCCGCCCTGGACCAAGCAGCTGGGCCCCGACGGACGAGGCCATCACGGAATGAGAGGCTGGCGACGGATGTCGAGGAGGCCCTTGGCATGTGTGATGGGCACGCCCAGCCTGCTTATTATGACTGTCACGACTCCAGAAAGGACTGGTGATTTTAGAACCGTTTTTTTCCCCCGAAGTCTTTGCCGTTTTGATTCATGGTCCGGCCTCCGTCTTACGCACGGACGTGAAGACACGCCGCTTTGACATGCGTTCTGTTTCTCCTGTACGTTAAGCATCCGAGTCATTCCGGAGCCTCCACCGACCTCGCCCCTTCCCGCTACGTCAGGTCAAAAGCCCAGATTCCACAGCCCACCACCAAAGCAAATGCCCCTCAAATTTAGTCCCCTCGTTTTTTGGTTTTTTTTTTGGAGCAGACGTGTCTCGTCTCTCGTGGCAGAAACCGGAAAAGGGAGACTAGTAAGGCCAAGAGGCGGCTTCTGCGTGAAGGGCAATTCTTCTCTTTTGGGAGAAATGAGATGCCTTCTTTCCTCTCTCACTTCTCACCCAAAGGTCCTCTCTGTGGTCAGAAACTTTTACGATTTGACTTCTGATGCTGCTTCTAACGGCAGAGTTCAGAGTTCTGAAGATAAACACTGACCCCCAAAAGAGCCATATTTCTTCCTCGGCAGCCACTTCTGCTCCCTACGAGCTACCTACCCCTGAGGCACAAGGACAGGGCAGGGAGGAGGGTGCTGGTGACGGGTGACGTCTACTCACCACTTAGTAGGAGTCGGGCACTGTTCGAGTCCTCTCCTGCGTCATGTCATTTAATCCTCTCAACGACCCTAAGACGTGGAGCCAAATACGCCCACTTCCCAGATGAGGAAACCAAGGCATCTCGAGGTTAAGTGTCCCGCCAAGTAACAGCCTAGTTACCTACCGACAGGTGAGGCGGGATTTCGACCAGGCCTTCTGGTGTCCAGAGTCCCTGGTGGGTTTGGTTTCTTTTCGACCTTTTTCCAATAGCTGGTGAGGCTGGACTGTCACCCAAGGTCTCCTGAAACTCTGAGTTAGGCAGCGTCCACGCGTGTTCTAGCGCCCGGACGTCAGGATCAGACAGATGGCGGGTGGGATCTCCCTCCGTGTCCGAACTTGGGCTTGTAACTTGCTCTCCCTCCATTTCTGCCTCCTCATCTATAAAACGGGTCCCTCCTTCAAAGTGATGGTCGAGCGGGAAGGATTAAGTGAGGCGACACATATAAAGCACTTAGCGCGGTGCTGAGAACTCCCTAAAGGGAAGCCGTTATTTCCTGTAGAGCAGAGATGAGAGAATCTGGGTGCTCTGCACAGGGGCTCAGGGACCACCGGGGGAGGAGCTGAGTGGACAGGGAGGGACAACCCTGACCTCAGTGACACGCATGTTCTTCACACCTACACCTGCCTTCCTGGGATGCTCGCTCCCTTCCTGGAGGCGTAGGTGTGAATAACATGCGTGTCACTGAGGAAACGAAGCAGTTCGGATGGCACTCGAGGTTTTCTGAGGAAAGAGGACCAGCTCTCTTTTCCATTAAATTCACGTGTTTCCCAGGAAACACGAAGCAGTTTTTCCTCGGGGCCTGGAAGCTGCATGCAAAGCCGCCCTGCCTGAGGGGGACCCCTCCCCTCGGAGCTGTCTTTGGAAGGCAGCCTCCTTTCTCCGACCCAGAAGTGGGGAGTGGGTGGGGGAGGAGGGTCTCCCCCAGCCAGCTCTGTCCGTAACTACTAGTTATTCTACTGCAGAAACAGAGTGGGCAGACGAGGGTCATCAATGCCAAGGTGGCAGGATTTCCAGGCATCTCAGAGTTTGCTTGGTATTTACACTCTAGTCTGTCTTCTGTGACGGCCGTCTCTGCCCCCACTTCTTAATTAGTTCTAGAAATGCCCCTAAAGATGATCTGGCCGTGTCCCCAGAGTCCCCATTTATAACGTGTCCGATCCCGAGGGCCGACACAACGGGGCTTTCTGTCCTCTGTCACTGGCTTCCTTGCCTCCGTCTGCAAAAGTCAAATGCGTTGTTCCCTCACGGAAATGTCCCTGCCCATTTTGCTTTATTTTCCATTCTGTCTCCACGTTTCTTCCCACAAGTGTCTCTTTCTCTCTCCCAATTTTACCCCAGCCCTTCACAGCCACGTCACCATCATACAAATGTGAAGGAGATGGCTGTGCACTGACTTGTACTATTCCTCTTCCTCTGGCCATTTGCAGAAAGTCCCTCTGTTTAAAATCCCCGCTGTCCTCAAGATAACGCAGGGATTCCTGAAGCCATCGAAGGGGCACCTGCTTTCCTCCGGTGACGGTCGGCTTCTCTCTTTCTCATCCCCTCTGCTCTGCTGGCGACCTCTTAACTCTTCACACCCTCCAGCAGAGTAACGGTTGAGGGGGCCAACCGCCTGCTGTAGCTCATAGTGGATGTCCTGTCTCATAACTTTCTTTGGCATCTGGTCTTTGTCCCTTTAGAGTCTTAGGCAAACCTTCTACTTACACTCCTGTTATATTTACAGCCCCAGAGTCTCTCAGCGAAAACCCTTAGGGCCAAAGATTTCAGAGTTCAGGATTTGCCAGATCTTACGAGGGTACATTCTCTGTTACGTGACACCCTCAGAAGGGTCTGGCCTAACACCCCGTGGTCAAAAGCATTCATATTTACGCAGCAAAATGTATGGCTAGTCATACAAAGCAGGTAGAATAAAAACTTGTAATGGCCAGGTTCAGGCAGATTTTACTATCAGATGAAATACCAAGAAACTTAGGGAGTTCAGAGTTTTTGGATTCGGACAATGACAGCGTGGACCACTCACCTGGTCCTTGGGATGAGGTTATTTTATGGCCTATCTTGGATTGGTACATTCTCGTATGGTTCTTTAATTGTCCGTGCGTCTCTCCTGCCTCCCTTTAGAGCAAGGCCCGAGCATCTCTGCTGTCCCCACAGAACGCTTAGCGAGCAAGGACTCTGACTGCCGGAGCAAGCAGATGGTTTCTTTCCCTCCCTCCAGGTGTCCTGGCTCTTTCCGAGGTGTGCAGCCACCAGATACTGGGGGGCAGGACAGTGGACAGTCAGCGCTCTTAACCTGGTATGGCATCGTAGCAGGTGGGAGGAGCAAGTCGTAAGAGTCAGAATCAGCGTGACCCAGCCCAGAAGCCACAGCTCAGGGTCAGGGATGCAGGGGTAGGGGCCACACCCCTGATTCCTACTCCGGAAGCATCCCTGCCCCCCACCAAGGGGCTCTCACACCTTTCCTCTAGAAACAGAACTAGGCCTTGAGCTTAAACCTCACAGGCTATAAAAATGCATATCGTCTTCTGGAAGGTCCATACCTGAGTTGTTCCCTGTGGCAGCTATAACAAATTACCATAAACTGAGAGGCTTAAAACAATAGAAGTTTGTTCTCTCTCCAGTCCGGAGGCCAGAAGTCTGAACTCGCTATCATTGGGTTGAAATCAATGTGTCAGCAGGACCTCACCCTCCGCCCCGCCCCCTCAGAGGCTCTAGGGGACAATCTGTTCCTTGCCTTGTCTGCTTCTGGTGGCTGTTGGCACTCTGTGGCTTGTGGCTGCCTCCATCTTCATGTCCCCGCCCCCTGTCGCTGTGTGTGTGTGTGTGCAGTCGGCCCTCCCACTGCCTCATTCTAATAAGGCTGCAGGTGGCTGCAGTTAGGGCCCACCTAGCAACTAATCCAGAATCATCTCCCAGGGCCCAAGAGCCTTCACTTAATCGCATCTGCAAACATCCTTTTTCCAAATAAGGTAGCATTGCCAATTTCCAGGGATTAGAACCTGGTATCTTTGGGGCCACTTCTTCAGCTTACAAGAGTACGAGAAGGAGTAACGTCCCCCGAAAAGATTCTTGGATTTAACCTTATTCGGGGAGAATTATGATCTAAATCGAGCTTTGACAACGAGCAGGTTGGTGACGGTGATGCTGAGAAAGTATTTTTTCAATCTTTTTTTTGCTGGGACATAGTAACCTATGCAAAGAAAAGTACACAATCACTGATTTGTCACAAAGGGAACGTTCACATAAGCATCACCTGGGGCAAGGAAGAATACTGCCGGCACCCTCCCCAGAGCCCTCCCTCCCCTCCCTCTCGGCCGCCCCCTCCTCCTCCCCCAAAGGGAAGCTCACTGTGACTTTCACGGTGATTACTCCCTGGCTTTTCTTGATCATTTTACCACTTGACCCCCCCCCATCCCCAAATGCTGCAGTTTCTGTTCTGCTCTTGATGTTGAACTTTACGTAGCTGGAGTCGTACAGATTATCTTTTCTGTCAAAGCTTCTCTCTTTCAACGTTACATTTATGAGTTTCATCCACATTGTTGCATGTAGCTGTAATTTGTTCTTTTCATAATTAGTGTATTTCTTCGCATGAATACACTATATAGTATTTCTCATTTGGGTTGGTGATGGGCATTTGAGTTGCTTTCAGTTTGGGGCAATTAGGAAAATCGCTGCTCGGAATGTTCTTGTATGTTTATCGATACACGTGGGCACATATGTCTGTTGAGCTCACACCTGGGGAGAGAAGTACCTGGCCTTGCTCGGCCTCATTCTGGTAGATAATCTCAAACTGCTTGCATATACATTTGCCAAAACTCACTGAACATAACTCACTGTGCATTTTATTGTCATAAATTATAGCTAAAAAAATTAAAAAAAAAAAAATCCTTTATTATTCACGCTACAGCTTCAACCCAAGAAATTCTGATCACAGTAAATCATAGCTAAAAAAAAAAAAAAAATCCTTTATTATTCACTCTACAGCTTCAACCCAAGAAATTCTAATCACAATTTCCTCAGCAGGACCAGGCCCCATCTCACAGCGTCCAACACTTTGTAGTTGGGGGGGCAGAAAGAGCGAAAAGAGGAACAGGGTCTGAAGGAAGAAGAGAGAAGACTGAGAGAGTCACCCTTAGAAGGAATGACAGTCCCTCCCAAGAACAGGGAGGCTCCCTTCGCCCCAGACAATAAAACGCACACCTCCCTCAGGCCCCGTTCCTTGCAGCTCTTGGAGACCAAACGGCGAATTAAGACAGTGGCTCTGCTTCCATTCTTCGTGGTTTCATTTGCGGCAAATCTGCCCTCGGTTACTACGTGTGAACGCACGCGTGCGTGCCAACCGCTCAACTAAAAAACGTTCTTTCCACAGTTCGTTTTTTTTCCACACCGGGTTACGTGACTCAGTAGAGTATTTGCTTATCTCTCCTTCCCAGGGAACAAATGTGACCTGTGGGAAAAACGGCACGTCCTGTTTGAGGATGCCTGCACGCTGGCTGAGAAATACGGCCTCCTCGCCGTTCTGGAGACGTCTGCCAAAGAGTCCAAGAACATCGACGAAGTCTTCGTGCTCATGGCCAGGGAGCTGATCGCACGCAACAGCCTGCACCTGTGTGGGGAGAGCACCCCGAACAGCCTCCCCCTGGACTCCAGTCCAGTTCTCCTGGCCCAGGCGCCCAGTGAAAAGAGCCAGTGCACTTGCTGAGTGCGTTCACGAGGACAGTCGCACCCGCCGGAGGCCGTCTCTGAAACCAAAGGACAGCCTCCTGTCTGCCGAGTAGCATTTCAGGTCCACGATTACGCTTGCCACCAGTCCTCAAGCCTTCCCGCCTGGACGGGCAGCACTTCTGCCTCCATCCACACCGGAGGCCATAACTGCTGGCTCTAAGGACAAGGGGACACCACTGTCTCTCTGGATTTCACCCTGGACTTAAGGCACAGAGGGAGGAGAAGGAGGTTTGTTCTGTTTCATCTTTTCCTCTTCCGTCTCCCCAACCAACCCTTCAACTGTTTCTACTGAATTTTGCTTCTCTCTCTTGAAGAAGGTGGTGAAAGAAAAAAGAGGACTATCAAGAGAGGGGAGAGGATGTTTAGAACGTTCTGGAACGGTTTAAAGCAGCTTGGGCCTGGGAGGAGGGGGAAGAGGCCTGCACCGATAAACCAGAAAGCTGTGGACATTGGCCTCCCGACATCCACACCTCGGGGCCCCCGTTTGGGCAGGAAACCTTCTGACTTACAGACCACAAACGCCATCTTGCCAAATGGTCAGGAGCCACGCGATGGAAATCGAATCGGATTTCACTTCATCCTAGTTGGGCTGATTTGACCACCCACCTAGGATGTGGGAAATGTCTACCACTTCTTTCTAAAACACCAAGTTAGCTGCCGGATCAGAAGTCATTTCTGAAATGAAATTAAATTGGCTCGTAGATGAATAGCGAACCCCAAACTGACCCCTCTGTGTGGCCCAGGCGTGCCATGTGCCTTCCAGAACCTAAGTAATACACCATGTTTTTTAACCTTTTTCTCATTTAGAAAAAAAAAGTGCAGCTCGCTGCCAGTGCTGATTTAACATCACACGTGGGAATGCTACGTTTTCTAGGATTTGACATTTTTAGCGATCGAGAGTTACTATATTTTGTAAATGGAAATACCACCGCTAAAAACAGAATGCTGTAAATAGAACGTCATTCATTTCCCAAAACTATTGATATATTAGAGCGATGCAAAGATTTTGGGGGTGAGGTTAGGACTGTAATCTGCGAGTTATCTCCGGGCTGACAGGAAATGGATTAAAAGTTCCCTGATGGTTGTTGCTGAGGCGTGTCTTGCAGTCATAATAAGAAGTACAAGGGGGCTCTCCCAATAATTACTAATAATTTTTATATTGATTATATGTTGAAATGTTATTTTAGATATACTAGGTTAAATAAAATATTAACATTTCACCTGTTTCTCTTTACTTTTTGACTGTGGCTACTAGCAAATTTGAAATTACCTATGTGGCTCACACCATTTACCTACTGGACGGTATAACAGAACAATGGTTTCAAGGTGTAGTTCACCAATCATACGTATGAGAGTGGCCGGGAATGCTTGTCAGAGATACCATGACCGACTTACCGGATCGGAGCCTTTTCAGAAATCCACACGTCATCCAAGCCTGCCAGGTGATTCTTCTCCAACTAAAACTCGAGAACCATACAGAGGCTAGATGAGGGCAGGAATGAGATCACAGAGAATTAAAGCATGTTAATTCCTTTCAGTAGACATTTGTTGTTAAAATGAACGAGCTACCTCTCAGAAACATGAGGGGAATCTAGTTATCTGGCAGAGAAAAAAAATGCATCGAAGCAGATTAGCCGTTTTCACAAGCATATTATTGTTCTAAAGAAAGGGTTCTGCGAGGCAGACGCTTACAAGGCAGACCAGGAAGATGTCTGTATAAAGCCACGGAGTGGTTTTCAGAGGAGGCGATTAGCAGACAGACGTTCTGAAGGGTAAGGAAAATCAAGTGGATCAGGGGAGAGAGTGAGCCAAGGAGACAGGCTGAGCAGGAGCTGAGATGATTGGCTCACACCAATTTTCCATCATTTCTCTGCACATCAGTCTCAACCAATACTCTGAAAACCCCATCGGCTTCTAGGATTATGCACCCTAGGGATTATCTGGAATTAAAATATTCCTACCAACAGGTTGGACATGTGAGAACAAGGTCACCTGAACATCAGCAACCTGTGATTTAACCAGCCTGGGCTTCTGTCAAAATGACAGACACCCTCAGGTACACCTGAAAGGGACTTGAAAGGGCCTCCCGGGTGGAGCAGCTTCACTGGATTAGGGTACCCACAGGTCCCCTCGAAAAACAGGCACAGGCTTCACTGAAGATGAGCACAGTCTCATTACCAGCTGGCTCCTCGTCACAGCTGATGTCTGGGAAGGCTGCATATTAACTGAATTCTAGCATTTTTCTCATATCCCCCAAATTGTATAGCGGGTAACAAGTGAGTTATATGAAATTAAGTTCCCAAAGAAACATTTCGGAAGAATGAAACGATTTTAAACTCCATATTTTCTCTGCCAGTGGCCAAGTTCATTTCTGTGTGTGAGAAAAGCTTTCGGTTAATATTTCATTGTTCTTAGATTTTTTTCCTGAATCTCTTCCCCGCTCCTACTGAAAAAGTCTATTAGCAGTGACCGGAATATTACCACAATAGCGTTAATAATGGCAAATACATGGAGCAATTGCTATATGCCCAGCACTGGACCAAATACTTTATTTATCCTGTCAACTATAACAGTTAGTATACTGACTGTTATATTAACCCTGCAACTATCTCTGAAGTAGATACTATTTATAATTCCTATTTTTAAAATGAGGAGACAGAGAGATTAAGGTCACACAGCCAGCAAGTGGCAGAGTCAGGATTCAAACTCAAACAAACAATCTAGTTCCAGAGCCCTCTCAGATCGTGACCGCTATCAGATTTGGGCTCCATCATATTAACCTCTCAGCATCCTCCACCCACACACATGCACACAGAAGGAGAAATATTCTCATTCCAAGACATAGTCTCACGCATCCATTCGAATAGAGAAGAAGCCGAAGGGGGAAGAAGGATGCAGTTGGGGAGGGGCAGGGGTGCAGAAAGGGTAGCTAGTTGGGTGGCAAGTCCTAGCAAACTGCAGGGGAATATGGAGGAGCTGTGCCTGAAACATGCCAGACCCAGCCTGAGTTGTTTCTGAGTAATGTATAATCTTTTACCCCACTTCCTTTGAACAGGATGATGTGAAAACTCCAGTTCACTCACATGCAAGGCTATATGGGTGACCCAAGGCAAACCAGGCTGAGTTCTACCAGGGAGGGCTGAGCCATTCCAGCACAAGGGTTAGATTAAGAGGATGGGGAAGAACTCGCCAAAGCAAGTACATGTCAGTACTCCGGGCAGGTATTTTGCACATCTCCGGGTGATAGAGAAAAGGTTCTGGGGTGGGGTTCATATCACCAAAGGCAATAACAGTACCTGCTTCAAGTTTTCATTTTCAAAAATATCAATATCTGTTCAAGAGTCTTTGATCAATTATTGAGGGAGCACGTACAAACGCTCATCAAATCCACCTAGTTGGTTTACGATATAGCAGGATGTGGCTAGCTGCTAAGGTGGTTTTGATATCACCGTTTCTTTTGTTTTTTTTTCTTACCCATA